TTGCATGTTTATTGCCCATCATACTCTTCTGATATGAAATGCCACTGAATATCTACAAAGCACATTTTACTAGCCAGGTAGTGTTATCATCATATTTTAGCAATTCTGGATTCTCCCCAACTTGCTCTAACTGCAGCCTTCCCCCTTTTAAGTGACAGCAACTCTATCCTTCCAGTTGCAAAGACTAAACACCTTCTAGTACTCCCTGCTGCTCTCTTTCTCTCTTTCCTGTCACATCCCATACAACAGGAAATCATGTTGGCTCTACCTTCAAAGTATAGCCAGAATACAATCACATCTCACCACTTCTACTGCTTCCACCCTGTTCCAAGCCACCACAGTCCACCCCCAAATTACTGCAGTAAGTCTCCCTGCCTTACTCTCACCTATGGTCCATTTCCCAAACAGCAGTCAGAGTGATCCTTTTAAAATATTAGCCAGATCATGGTACAATTCTCAACAACCTGCAGTAGTTTCTAACTGCACTCAGAGTAAAAGCCAAATCCTTACAATGGCCTAGAAGGCCTTAAAGGATCCCCCAGTCCAGCTCTCCTCCACACCCCCCCCACCGGCCTCTCCTCCCTCCCTCCCTCTGCTCCTGTTGTAACTGGCTTCCTTGTTGTAACTCAGACATGCCAGGTATTCTCCCTTTGCTCTAGCTATATCCTCTAGACTTCCATGGACCAGACACTCAGACGCTATTCTAGGCACACAGGACAAAGACCTTGCCCACGTGGAGCTTACAGTCCAACAGGGAGTTAGGCAATAAACAACAAACATAATAAGTGAGTAAATTACATAGTATATTATAAAGGTAATAACTATTACGGAAAAAAGAAAAGGCAGAGTAGCGTCAGGGTAATCAGGATTGCCAGGAAGTTATGGAAAGTTACAGCAGTAAATAAGAGGTCAGGATAGGGCGTCATTGAAAAGTGAGATTTGAGCAAAGACTTGAAAGAAGGAATGGAGTCATGCGGACACCTGGTTTGTTTTCCTGTGTGTCTAGCATAGAATAGGAAAAACAAAACAGAACAAAACACTGGCTCTCAGGACACTGAATGAGGTGAGATAATTTTGTTTAGATATCACCACAGACCCAGACTTTCTTCCCTTGAAGGAAATGCAAGGTGTTACAGATTGAATTGTGTCCCATTCCCTTCCCCCACTACCCCCACCAAAAAAAAAAAATGTGTTAGAATCCTAACCCCTATACCTGGATTTAATCGTATAAGGAAATAGGGTTTCAATTGTTACGTTAATGAGGCCATATCAGTATAGGGTTTGTCTTAAACCTAATTACTTCTGAACTATAAGGAGCAGCACAGACACAGAGACAAGCCAGCACAAACAGGGGAAGCTAGATACCCTTTGAAGATCACCAAGGAACTGAGGAATGCTAGAAGAGACAACGATCTTCCCCCAGAGGTGGCGGAGAAAGCGCTTCCCTAGAGCCAGTGCCCTGAATTCAGACTTCTAGCCTCCTAAACTGTGAGAAAATAAATTTCTGCTCTTTAAAGCCACCCACTTGAGGTATTTGTTACAGTAGCACTAAGAAACTAAGACACAGGGATTCAGAACACTCTGTCTCTGAACCAGTCTCCCTTTCTTGCTTTGGAGCTTGGGTTATGACTACACTTTGCTTGCTGTGACTATTTGGATAAGGGGAAAAAATATTCCATCTTTGACAGAAGGCTGGAAGTGATACAAGTGATATCTGAGTATTTCTTGGCTTGGGTTTTTTATAGGGCAAAAGAAGAGGCAGAAGAAAATACTGGTCTCTGTCTCTCTGTGACTCAAAACTTTAGTCTCATTGTGATGACAGAATCAAAGTAAGACCGAGTGCAGCGAGGGGAATCATCTCTAATTTTGGCAAATTCAAAGACATGACATAATAGCAAAACTGGAGTATATTGTAAAAAGCAGATTTTTATAGATGTGAGTCATAATGTTGGAAACATTGGCAATGTCTGTACAATCATCCACATCAGCACAGAAATTTGAAGACTGGAAGTTTGAAGAGTTTTGGGAAATTCTCAGGGTAACCAATCTATTGACCAATAAATATCTGTTAGGTATCTACTATGTACAAGGCATTCCAGTAGATATTGCAGGGGTGCAAAGAAATTTACACGATATGGGACCCCCGGCTTTAAAGAGCTTATAATCCAACTGTGGAGATTAGACATACGTACGTGAAATGGTGATTTACAATACAAGGAGATGCATAATAAATGTCAAATGCTTGGCTGAGAAAATAACTTTCATAAGTGTTCTGTTTTACTCCTGGCCTATAAGTTCTGTGGGAGCAGGGACTGCATCAGTCTTCTTTCCATTGTGTGTCCACATATTTTGAATGAATGGATGAATGAATGAAGAAATTCTGCTTGTCAGGAAAGACATTCTGGAGAAGGAAGGTCGTTGTGCGAGCACTGAAGGGTGGTAGAACTGAATTTGATAGGTGGAAAGTGCTAGGCTTGGGAACTGGGAAGGTAGTTGGCAGCTGGGAAGAGAGGGGAAGCCAGGCTGGAGGAAAGGGCTCTTTTGGGAAAGATGTGGAGAGAATGGTTGGAAACGTAGGCTGGGGCCAAAAAAGTCAAGGGTCTTGAATTCCAACCCAAGGGGTTTGACCTTATTCTACAGTTAATAAGGAGTCATCAGTGTTTTGAGCAGAGGAGAAAAACTGTGTTTTTAGGAGATTAATATTGTAGAGGGATACAGAAAATGAAGTTGTCGGCTAGGGTGACAGAGGTGACTGGGCCACCTATCTGCAGCTTGGCTGGGGCTCATTTACATGGTGGCAGTCGCAGGATTCCCAGGAAACGTAAGAAATGCCAAGTCCCAACGTACAGCACTTTTCAGTAGCTTCATACTTTCTAATGTCCCATTGGCCAAAGTCCAGATTCAAGGGATGGAAAAACAGACTCCATTTCTTGATGGGATGAGAGGCAAAGTCACATTGTAAAGTGGCAAACACATAGGGATGGGTGACTTTGTGGCCGTTTTTGAAATCTACTATACTGGGTTAAGTGTTATAAATACCAAAGAGAAACAACTAAGATAAAAGGTGGGTGAACCTCTATAGATAACCCTATAAAATAAAGTAAAAAAGTTCTAGATGGCTGAAGTATTGGGTTAGAAAGATGAAACATGATGAAAACACCCACTTCCTGGAATACACGTCTAAATGCCACACACCTTCATATCCGATCTGCTTATTTTCTGACTTGGAGAGATTAATCCAGAAAGTACTCAGGTCAATTTTGGCAGGGTATTTACCTAGTTTTCAGAATCAGGGCATTCAGAAAAATAGACTCAGATGCTACTTTGTCTTTTCCTGGTCCTACAGGTCTCTGAGACATTTTTAAAATAAAGGTGACCATTGAATTTAACTAGTTGGAAGTTTCCCCTGGCTTATTATCTCCTATGGGAAGAGGGGTAAACGCCTCAGGACAAGTCTCAAGTTCTCCCACCTAACATTTTTAGGTATACTGCATCACAGGCACAGTGTTTGGGAGTCTAAGAGATTTCAGGGGCCAAAAAAATGTTTGCGTCCTGAAAAAAATCTGAGCTTCAAACTGTAAAATAAAGCTGCAAAATCTAAATTAATATCTACTTAATTAAATGTTTAGAACTTTAGATGAGATCGGGCGCGTTCAGGGTGGTATGGCCGTAGACAGTTTAGAACTTTATATCAACCTCATTAACTGTTAAATTTAGTTTAATAAAAAATTTAAATGACATTTGAAATTAATTTGTAGATTTTCTCACTTCATAAGCATTCTCAATTACATACCAAAAACAATCACAGCCAATAGCAATGTAAATTACATCCTCATAGTCAAATAAACGCAAAAGTAAAATTATAAATATTCCTTCAACTTAAAATTTTATAGCAAAAAAAAAAAAAGATAATGCAGAATGAGGATGAATTTGTTTGATTTGTTTGGTGGTGCCCCCAAATAAACGTGCTTTTGAAGGTCTACAGAGGCTCATAAAACAGACTCTAAAAACAGTCCTAGCCTGCAGATTTGGAAATATGCCTAACATTTAAGGTTATCTATGTTTTACAGGTAAAGAAACTGAAGACCTCCTGCAGAGCCAAATCAGTTTATCAGTCCCTGAGAACCCAGGTTTCCGGAGTTTCTGACCAAAGCTTAACTTCTAACAACTGATTTCCAACCTTTTACCTACTGTGGCAAAGCGAACGTTTCCATGAGAGACATATCTTTCCTCTGCCAAAAAACCTATGTAGACTGAGTGCTGGCGCTGCTTTGAAAAGCACTAATTGGAGATGTTATAAATAATTAACTCCTGGTGGGGAAGAGGAGGAACAAAGCACCAGAAACTGCTATTGTAAACATCCATCTTCTGTTGGCCCTAAACGCTGGCTCTAGCGATAACAGTGACTTCACTACATTATTTCCACCCTCTGAGAAGGGAGAATGGCCGCTTCTGTAAAACTGAACCACATATGAGGCCAAAAGGTCAACAACTTCTCAAAAGCAAAGATGAGAAAATAAGGAGGCAGAGAAACTAGAGTACTGGAAATGGAGCAAACAACACAATTAAAGAGAGTGCTGACACACTGTGACAAATGTAACTAATGTCACTGAACAATCTGTGCAAAAATGATCAAACGGGAACTAAACTTGCTATATAAACTTTCATCAAAAACTCAATTAAAAAACAACCCCCCCGCCCCCAAACTGAACCACAAGCTCGTGCTCACAACACTGAAGGCAAAGACACCAAAACCTCCAGACTCGCTGCAGTCCTGCTCTCCCCTCTACACCTCTGCCCTCTGGAGGCGGGGCTCCGAAGCCACGCCCCCGGCGCGTGCAGACCTCCCCACGCTGCGCTTCAGGTCCTGCCCAAAACAGGGCGCGCTTCTCTGACGCCTCGGCGCGTGGCCTCTGACGTTTCCCAGGCCCTGCCTCCATTCTACCCGTTTCGAGGCGGGGCGGCCCCACCTCGTCCCCGCCCCTTGGCCCACTCCGGATCTGCGCGCTGTGCCGGTCCCGCCTTCAGCTTAAGCTGCTTCTGCGGCGGCGGCTGAGAGGTTGTTGTTGTCGCCGTTCTTGCGCTGGCCGGCGGTCCCCAGCTCCCCCTCTTCGTCCTGGTCGTGGTGGGCGCGGTCAAACCCTGACTGGTCCGGTGAAGCAGTCAGAGCCTCTGGGCCTCGTGGCGGGCGATGGTGCGCCAGTGCGGGCGGATACGGGCGGCGGGGCGGCGGGCATGAAGGAGAATGGAAGGGGAGGACGAGGTGTCCCTGCGTGAGCAGCATTTCCACAGCCAAGTGCGGGAGTCAACGGTGAGTGGCCGCCTATATCCGCGGCCCTCCGTCGGGGCTGGCCTGGGTGACAGCTCGCTCCTCGCGGCTCCCAGACTGCGCGGCCCGCGACCCCAGGCCCGGCGGCGGCCGGCCCTGCCTCCCTCCCTCCGGTGCCCTCCGCTCGCTCGCTCCCTCGCCCGCCGACCTCGCGTCCTCGCCTCGCGGCCCTCGCGCCTCGGCACCCCCGCTCCTCCCGCGCACGAGTCGCCGCGCAGGCCCTCCATCGCCATCTCCCCGCGACCGCCACCTGCGCTCCGGCCCTGCCTGCACCTTTACCAGTTCCCTGCAGCCTCACCTCTCCGTGCCACCCCTTCATCCTCGTTGCCACCGTCAGGGCGTTTGCCTTAGTGAGCACGGTTGTGTCGTTTGGTCATGCCCCCTGACCTTCCCACAGTAAAATGCTAGAGTGGTCCACCTGGTTTCCCTCACCACCCGACCCCAATTTTTTGTTTGACGAGTACTGGTGGGATCATAGCCGATTGTGCCCATGCTCAATTGCCTGGCGGAATGTACAAGTTTTAGTATTTGGTCCTTGTAGGGGTAGCTAATATTACTGGGAGCTTATTTAGGAGCCTGGTGGCGCAGTCGTTAAGCGCTGCTAACCGAAACGTCGGCGCTTCGAACCCACTAGCTGCTTTGCGGGAGGAAGATGTGGCAGTCTGCTTCCGAGAAGATTTACAGCCTTGGAAACCCGATGGGACAGTTCTACTCTGTCCTGTAGGGTCACTATGAGTCAGAATGGACAACGACAGTGGGTTTGTTTTTTTGTTTTTTTAATTAGTGCCGATCTCCAGTCTCAGCGCCTTGCATGCAAGTATTTCCCGTTTCTTTGCTTTAGAAGCATTCATTTGAAACACAGTTATAGTTGTCACAGTTGACACCCTCCTTCTCTTGCCTGCCCGCCACACGCGTTTCCATCCCCTATCCGTCTGTCTCCAACCTGCACTTTTAATAAGTTTGTAATCTTTCCGTTTTGGGATGAGAAGACTGATTATTTGTGAGATTTAGGACCTGAGCAAAAGTCCATTTTGCTCTGGAAGCACCTTATAGAAGACGCCTCTTTTTGGTCCCGTGTGTCCCTTGTGCTGCGTGCAGGATTCAGGAAGTGGACTTGACCTTAGAAAGTCTAGTTTCGTGTTTTAATCTTTTCACGATGCTCTGTAATACATTGTAATTGGTTTTGTTTATTTGTGTTTTCATAACTGTGTACAATAGATCAATTTTATATATTTATATTTACCCCTCCCCTCTTTCACCTAACTTCTCTCAGATTCATTCACACTCTGGGTTTGAGGTGAAAAAATTCTGGTTTAGAATTGCCTGGTTTATGTAGTTATTGGTCTTGAAAATTGAGAATTGCTTTGGCAAGTCATACTTTGGAATAAAGAGATATAAAATAAATTCCGAGCTAATGGAATTTGATACAGTGTATTTAATTTTAATTTAAAAATTTTAAATTGAATCTAAAATACACAAAGAAAAGTGTTTAATAAGTGTATAGCTGGAATAGTTTTCAAACTAACTGCAGAACCCAGATTACAAGCATCCCAGCGGCCCACCTCTTGCCCCTTCCAGCTACTCTCCACTCTACCAAGAGAAACACTATCCTGGCTTCTAACAGCATAGATTAGTTTTGCTTAGTTTTGAACTTTTTATAAATGGAATCTTATAGTATGTACTCTTCTGTGTCTGTCTTTTTTTTTCACTCAATGTTTGTAAGAGTCCTCCATGTTGTGTATAGTTGTAATTCATTCTCAATGCTGTAGTACTCCGTTGTGTGACTATACTACAATTTATTTTTGCATTTTACTGTTGATGGGCACTTTGGTAGTTTCCAGTTTTTAACTATGAATGTTCTTGTACATATCTTTGGGGAACATGTGTATGCATTTCTGTTGGATATATACCAAGGAATGAAATCACTAGGTCATAGGGTATGCATTTTTTCATTATTTGTTATTGTTGTTAGTTGCCTTTGAATATGAGAGGTCAGTTGCTACTCATCTTTGCAAGCACTGAGTATTCTGTTCTTTTAAAAAATTTTTGATTCTAGTAGTGTGTAGTGGTATTGCACAGAGGGTTCAATTTGCATTTCCTTGATAACTAATGAATTTGAGCACTTTTTCATATGCTTATTGGCCATTGGGATATCTTCTTTTGTGAAGTATCTTTAAAAGTCTTTTTCCCATTTTTAATTGGCTTGTTTCTTTTTTATATGGATTTGCAGGAGTTCTTTATATATTCTGAATATGATTCTTTTGTCAGATATATGTATTACAAATATTTTTTTCCCACTCTATGGATGTCTTTTCACTCTCTTAATGATCTTTAAAATTTTTTTTTTGAAATTTTATTGTGGTAAAATATATAACAAACTTTTCCATTTTAATAATTTTTAAATGTATGTTTCAGTGACATTAATTACATTGATCATGCTGTGCCATCTTCACCACTATTCTATTTCCAAAACTTTTTTGGTATTAGCTACCCATTTCCCCTTCCTGAGTCCCTTGTACTCACTAATCTATTTTCTGCCTGTATGCATTTGCCTAGTCTAGATATTTATGTAAGTGGAATCGTACATTTGACCTTTAATGTCTTGCTAATTTAACTTAGAATAATATTTTCAAGGTTCATCCATGTCATAGCTTCATTCTCTTGCATTTGGTGATCCAGCTGTCCCTGCACCATTTGTTGAAGAGACAATTCTTTCCCTATTGAATGGACTTGGCAACCGTGTCGAAAATCAGTTGTCCATAGATGTACGGGTTTACTTCTGGACTGTCAATTCTATTTCAATGGCCTGTGTATCTGTCCTTAGGCCAGTACCACACTGTTTTGATTGCTGTAGCTTTATAGTACATTTTGAAATCAAGAAATGTGAGTCCTCCTACTTCGTTCTTTTTTGTTTTTTGTTTTTGCAAAATTGTTTTGGCTATTCAGGGCCCCTTGCAATTCCATATGAATTTGAAGTTCAGCTTTTCCAAAAATTTCTACAAAAAATGCTGTTGGAATTTTGATAGGGAGTGCATTGAATCTATAGATTGCTTTGGGTAGTATTGACATCTTAACAATAAGTCTTCCAATTCATGAACACAGATGTGTTTCCATTTATTTAGGACTCCTTTAATTTTTTTAAGCAATGTTTTTAGTTTTTAGTCTACAAGACTTTCACCTCCTTTGTTAAATTTATTCCTAGACTTTTTATTCTTTTAAATGCTGTTGGTTATGGAATTTTCTTAATTTCCTTTTTAGCTTGTTCATTTCTAGTATATAGAAACACAACTGATTTTTTGCACGTTGATCTTGTGCCCTGCAACTTTGCTGAGTTTATTTATTAGCTCTAGTAACTATCTTATGGAGTGTTTGGGATTTTCTGTATATAGAATTATATTGTCTGCAAATAGAAGAAGTGTCACTACTGCTTATCTCGTTCTCATCATAGTCATAAAGTCTTTTGTTATATATATGTGAATACATGTGCGTACAGTCACATAGATGTAGCACTGGTTATCTTTTATATACCTTTATTCCTGTTATCCTCATGGATGACGGTGGTGTGTATTATATAGCTCAGATTTACTTTCATTGCACAAACCACTCCTCTCTGTCATCCCTCTTTGCCTGTCTTTTCAATTGCTGACGTATCTGCATGAGGAGTGACTGGAAATTTGGGCATACTAAAAATTTCTTAGTTTTTAAAAAGCTTTGTAGGACTAAATTTGCATGAATTGAATTTGTGTGAGAGGAACTTGAACTTGGAGAGGGAATACAATATAATTTTTTATTTTCACTGTGGCAGGACTCATGATAAAACTCACAGTGTTTCAATTGTATAAGGCTATAGACCTTCTAGATGGGAATTTTAAAAGTTATTCTGATACTTAGTTAATGTCAGTGTTTCACATGTGTATCTTCTTTGTGGTTTGGGATTCAGGAATATTCTACATATCCTTTAAGGTATATAGTTTTTAGCCTTCAGAAGTCATTCATTTCACATTATTTTAGCTCTCTTCAAATCTACTAGGTAGAGCTGCCATAAGCAAAATAAGGAATTTGACAAAAAGCTGGGCATATAGGACTGCAAACAGGGTTGTTTCACCAGCAGGATAATTTATGAGATGGTGATTTTATGGAATTGATACACGAGTTAATATTCTATATTTGAATATCAGGCATATTATTTTGGAGTTCCTGGGTAGTGCAAATGGTTAATGTGTTCAGCTGCTGACTGAAAGGTTGGAGGTTTGAGTTCACTCAAAGGCACCTCAGAAGAAAGGCCTGGCGATCTACTCCCCAAAAATCAGCCACTGAAAACCCTGTGGAGCACAATTCTACTCTAACACTCGAGGGGTCACCATGAGTTGGAATTGACTCAATGACAGCTGGTGGTGTGATAACTGTTGTTATTCATATTCTATACGTTATTCATATCCTACATACTTTTTCAAAACTCCAACTTTTAACCATTATACTCTATGGAGAGTAGGGAGAAGCTGTTTGTCTCACTACGGTATAGCAGTACTGAAAACATTTGTCCTGAACAAGGAGACAAATTACATATGCTTTGGAATTAGGCAGTATGTTGTTGTTAGGTGCCGTTGAGTCAATTTTGACTCATAGTGACCCTGTGTACAACAGAATGAAACACTGCCCGGTCCTGCACCATACTTACAATTGTTTTTATGCTTGAGCCCATTGTTGCAACCAGTGTGTCACTTCATCTCGGTGAGGGTCTTCCTCTTTTTTGCTGACCGTCTACTTTACCAAGCTTCATGTCCTTCTCCAGGGACTGGTCCCTCTTGATAACATGTCCAAAGTATGTGAGACAAAGTCTCACCATCTTTGCTTCTAATGAGCATTCCTTCTTCCAAGGCAGATTTTGCTTGTTCTTCTGGCAGTACATAGTATATTCAGTATTCTTCGCAAGCAATCAAAGTTGTGTCGTCTGCATATTGTACATTGTTAATGACTCTTCC